TACTTATTTATAATTATGCATATTAATAATTTACCTCGCACTCCACTTTCTCTGCATTCTGCTGAGAAGAATAGTGTTGACAGTTACCTTGATGTTGAGAATTTAGCAACACCAATGCTATACAGTTTAAACAGGAGCCACTTCATACTATTAAAATTCACTGTCTGTTCTATATAAGTATGTGATTAGAAATTGTATTTTTCAAACAGTTTGGCTAACCATTTTAGCTTTTACAATTAACAACTGTTTTGTGGGTAAATTATTTCACATTTCTGTACTTGTTTCCTCATCTGCAAAAAAGAAAAAAAAAGAAAGAAAACAGTAATAGTTACTTTTTCCTGGACTGAGTATGAGGATTAAATAAGATCATAAATATAAAGAGCATTGCAAAGTTCCTAGTACGTAGTCAGCACTTCACAAATGGTGACTATCACAAGTAATGATTAACAATTTTATTGCATCAATGATTCCTTTTATTTTGTCTTAGGTAATAGAGTAATAGCCTTTCTTGAAATAGTTGGCAACATGATATTCTTCATTTTTAAATCAACAAAATGAAAATGTAAAAGTTAAGGAGTTATTTTAAGATATTTTAAGCAATTTCATTATTTTTAATATTTTTGTGTGTGTTGATCAACATATCTTAAACTTTTTGAGGGTTTGTCCATACCTCTTACTTAAAATATGTATATTTTTCTTTAAAAAAAATGACGCTGTTTTTATCTCATTTAGCAAAAATTAGATTGATAAATTATAAATTTAATTAGTCCCAAACTTTTCAAAGTAAAAATTAGCTACCATTTACTAAATTATTTTTTGTGTGTCAAATGCTGGGTGAAATGTTTTCAATGGATTGCCTCAGTTAATTTTTATAGCACCCAACTGAGATGGGCATTTTAGGAATAAAAAATTCAAAACTGTTTATGTAATTCACTAACATACATATAGCTAAAAACTTGAAGAACCAAGATTTGGGTTCGATTTGTCCACCCATAGACTTGATGTTTAATGCCTAATATACTTCTAACTGCAGTTATACTGTTACATACAGTCATACTCAGTTACACTGAGATTTTTTTTTTAAAGGGAGAGATCTGAATGGTGATTCACAGAAAAAAAATCATCCCCCAAACTAGATTTAAAATTCTTCTAAAGTTAAAAAACAAAACAAAACAAAACAAAAAAAAAAAAAAAAAAAAAACGTTTAAAAAGACAAGTAAGCCTGAACCTGGCACAGAAAAAGGACCTTGCCCCATGTTGCTCCTTTACTCTGGAACAGAAAAGAAAGGGAAGGTCGTCTATGAGGTAACCTTGTATGCAAGGCAGAGGAGTTTCTACCTTTATCATCCCTTTACTATCAGTGATGTTACCTTCAGATGTTTGTGAGAATCTTCCTCAAAAGCCAGATTCCGATCTGTTTCTATGAAGCCAGATTATAATTTACTTTGATGTTTTAACATCTATGGGCTTCATTTGCTTTTATTTAACCGCCTTGATTTAAAACCCAAGAAAAGACCCTTAACAATTCTGAGGCAAAATTTTCTCTCTATAAATTGAGACTTTTAGGAGAAATAATCTCTAGTAGTCCTCAACCTGTGTGTGTGATTATTCATATAATAAAATGCCAACAATTTATCCTTAACTTAGGGCTGGGCCGGTGGCGCGCTGTAGCAGTGCGCGGCAGCGCTCCCGCTGAGGGTTTGGATCCCACATACAGACTGGTTCCCGCTCACTGGCTGAGCGAAGGGCGGGCGCAGCACCGAGGGTTGCGATCCCGTTGCCGGACATGAAAAAAGACAAAAAAAAGGAAAAAAAAATTTATCCTTAACTTAATTATTTCCAGACCAAATCAAGTGCCAAGAAGAAAATCTGAGGAAAATTACATCATCTATACTGTGGTTCTTCTTCATAGATTATATTTTAATATTACTTTGATAGGGTCAAAATAAATAAAACAATCACAAAATAAAATGGCACCCTAGGGACTGGGGAAAAATATATATATATTTGCAAACCTGGTAAGGAGATTAATAACCAAAATTTGTAAAGAACTCATACAACTCAATAGCAAGAAAACATACACCCCAATTTTAAAAAATGGGCAGAAGACCTGAGTAGACATTTTCTCCAAATACAACATAAAAATGGCCAACAGGTATATGAAAACATGCTCAACATAACTAATCATCAGAGAAATTTGAATTAAAACTGCTGAGATACTGCCTCACACCTGCTAGAATAGCTATTACCAAAAAGAGGAAAGATAACAAATGTTGGTGAGGGTGTGGTGAAAAGGAAACCCTTGTATACTGTTTGAGGGAATATAGATTGGTGAAGCCATTATGGAAAATAATATGGAGGTTCTACAGGAAATTTAAAACAGAACCACCTTATGACCCAGCAATCCCTCTTCTGCATATGTACCGAAAGGAAATAAAATCAGCACCTCATAAAGATGTCTGCACTGCCATGTTCCTTGCAGTATTATTCACAATAGCCAAGATATGGAAACAACCTAGGTGTCTGTCAGTGAATGAGTGGATAAAGAAACTGTATCTTTACAGTTTCTTAACTGTGATATTTGTGTGTGTGTGTGTGTGTGTGTGTGTGTGTGAATATTATTCAGACTTAAAAAATGAGATCCTGCCATTTGCCACAACGTGTATGGTCCTGGAAGACAGTTGCTTAGTGAAATAACCCAGACTCAAAAAGAAAAATATTTCATAATTTCACTTATATGTACAATATTATTTTAAAAGGTCAAATATAGAGAGAAAGAAAATAAAACACTGTTTCCAGGAGCAGGGTGGGAGGGAAAAATAGGAAGATATAGGTCAAAGGATACAAAGTAGCAGTTATATAGTCTAATGTGCAACTTCAAGACTATAATTAGTAATAGTTTATTTTTAAGGGATTTTTGCTAAATAAGTAGATTACAGCTGCTCTTGCCACAGGGGAAAACAGATAACTATATGAGATGGTGAATACGTTAATTTGTTTCATGATAATGATCATCTTTCTACATATATGTACCTTATCATATCTTGTAGTATACCTTAAATGTACACGATAATATTTATTTTTTAAAAGAAGAAAATAGATGGGTTCCTCTGAGCTAATACTTAAGAAATGTAATTAGGGAAGTATGAGGGAATTTATAAGCAAGCATACAAAAAATTATAACTAAAATTCATCAAAATATTTACATTCTAGATGCATTCCTGGAAATCTCGTGCCTCTTAATTTATTTTGCAATTAAATTACAGTATGTTTTCAAGGAATTTTAACTTCTCTAACGGTTAAGTTGTCCTTGTGAGGGTAGTAAGACGGGTGAAAGACAAGTTATTTATTTTCTTTGTGTTTCTCTTTTCACACTACAAATTTGTAAATAACCAGCGTGCATACTGTGCAATATTGATAAGAGGATTAAATAAGATTGTAAGTGCTAAATGCTTAGAATTCTAAAGCCAAACAATAGCAAAGAGTAAATAAATGTCAGCTATTTTATTATCATCATTATTATTAATTACTACTACTACTATTATTTTTTAGAACTAGGTGAAGGTTTTTATTCAAATATTAAATTTAAAAACAAATTATGCATAGGGGCTCGGTTCTTTTTAGAAAAATATAGCCCACTGAACAAAGTAAAAATCATTGATATGTAGCAAAGAAAAGGAAAGAAAATCTAATATAAAGTATAAACATTTTAATATCAATATACAAAAACAGCTACTTGAAATTTTATTCAAATTAGACCACTAATCAGCTGTAGATACAAATAAACAAGCAAACAAAACAAGTCAGTCTACAAGAAAATGTACTCGGGTTAGTTAATGTCACTGAAGGTAATAAAGTTGATATTTATCAAAACTATATTAGGGACCAGCCTAATTTTTTTTTGTATATGTATAAGGAACTGGAGCTTTATATATCACAAAACTTGGAGTAGAAAAGCTTAAATTCAGGACCAAATCTTTCTGAAATAAGGCATGTTCTTCACTAATCTTGTACACTGCTAAAGATTTCTTCTTTCCTACTCTTTTTTAGTCAGCCTCTTGATTCTATCTCCAGAAACAAAAGCACGTAGGGACCACTGACAAAGGAGTGAAAAATACAAAAATTTGTTTAAACATACATGGTGAAAAAATGAATAATGTTGATTTTGATGTTTTGACTGAGGGACTGGTGTTTTAAGAGATAAGCCTAGCCACGTAGAGCAGCATCCTTAGTCAATAATTTTAGATGCTGGTAGGAACTGTATGTCTGCTTAAGAAGCTGAATGACAATTTCTCTGGAGTACATTTGAATTTCTTAGCTCAGGTCTCTGAGAAAACCTAGATTTATCTTAATTCGTGATTGCTAGTAGTAAGGAAATAAAATTATGTAAAGACGTAAAAACTTAAATTAGTGTTTAAGCATTGCTGCTGTAAATAATTCTATGAAGCAGGAAGGTACAGTGAAGCCCCAGAAGACCAGTGTTTCTCAGGTGAATCATCAGGATCTTACAGGCCTGAATTTCTTTACCAGTAAAATGAGACACTGCCTATGACACTTCTACTTGTCATGTATGAGATATGTGAGAATACTGTGTATATACTCATATCTCCACATAAACATATAGTCATATCACTTCTTGCTGTGTGACAGAGATGCAAACATTACTCAAAGACCAAATATTAAGAGCAATGAGCATCCCAAAGGGACTGTGGGACTCTTCCTCAAGAAGGGAGAAACAAGGTGCAGCCCTGAGTCAGTATTTGCTTCAGCTTCTACTGTAAAAACAAGGAAATGCAAGAGAGAAAAAAAACTAAATCAATCATTTATCAAAGGAACAAAAAGAAATTAGCTATGGGGCAATTTCTGGAAAACATCTTCAGAAACAAAAAAAAGGGAGTGAAGCTGGATAAGAAATGACCTTAATGTTCTTATCTAATGTAGCAGAAACTGCTGTTTCCAGCACATGCTGTTCTCAGCACTTAGGTTCTGCGTAAGTGCATTCAGGACTTTTGCCCTTGCTGTACTCCCTGTTCTTTGTCAAGCCTATGTGCTCCCACATACTCCCAAGACAAAGTGTGATAAATAGAAACATCATTCTTATCTGTTAAGTCTGTTTTATAAAAACCAGAGAATTCATTCAACTCACAAGGTTCTAGAAGTACCTCATAGCAGCATATCTGAGTCATTTGCAAATTAAGTGTAGAACAGAAAATAATCATTTTGTATTGCAAACCTGAAACTGTATTCTATATAATGGCTACAGGTATCATAATCTCTAAAATGTAAAAAATAATAGTTTAAAATTAACCACAGTTTCATTACTTTTTCTGAATTGTCCAAATAATAAAAGCATATCAAATCACTAATTTTTAATTTCATGTCATGATCCTACAATGGTGACTGACTAAATAGCTGGCAGAGATAAAAATATCATAAACTAGAGTTATTTCCAATTGAACAAATATGCAAATACATTGAACATATTTATTTTAAAACACAATTATTTTAAACCATGTTCTTCCAATTATATCTAAAAATCTGATGACATATTTCAATCGAATTGATATTTAGCCCTTAACACCCACAGTATTAAGAAAACAAAATTCAGATACTCTTAAATATGTATTTAGAATTTCCCTTTTAACTAGTTATGTGACTTTAGGCAATTTATAAATAATTGGGAGTTGGAGATGGAACTTTACACATCTCTTAGGTTTGTTTGACTGTAATAAGTAAGACTACTTTGATTAAGTGTCTGGCAATCAGTAGAAAACTCACTGGGTTTTGCCCCTCTTACTCAATGACTGATATTCTTTCAAGAGCTCCATGAATTAATTTTTAAATTTATATAACACATTTACATAACTAACATAACACTTACTTAGCACTGATTATCACTGGATATTGTTCTAAGTGTTTCATAAATATTAACCTGTATAATCCTCAAAACAAACCAATGAGTTGAGTCCTATTATTTTCCAGAACTGGAAATGGAGTCACACAGAGTTTAGGGAATTGTTCAAGGTTGCACAGATAATAAATGAAGGAAATAGCATTCAAACTCAGGCGGTCTTGCTCCGGTGTCACAAGCTCTAACAAAAACATGCTGATGCTTTTGCTTGGGACACACATAATGTGGGTTTGTGTGCATAAGTGTGTCCATGTCTGTATTTAAACATGATTTCAGTGGTCTGTCAAGGATGTAATGGCCTGAATAGGACTTTTTAAGCCATACTGACTTTCCAGAATCTGTCTGGGCCCCTGTAGAAAATGTCAAGCTTTGTTAAAGTAATAGTCACATTTTCAGTTGTTTGGAAAAGAATTACAAAAAAAAGTTTGATTTATTTTCCTGCTTGTATTTTATAAAGTAATATTATTCTTATTATTTTCTTAACTTTAATATTTTTAAGGTTTCACAACCTTTATCCAAGATTTTCTTTGAGGCATCTTTCACCTCTTTATTCCTTAGACTATAGATTATGGGGTTCAACATGGGGATCACCACTGTATAAAATACAGAAGCCATTTTATCTGTGTCCAGGGAGTGGTTTGATTTGGGCTGTAGGTACATAAAGATCAATGTGCCATAGAAAATAGTAACAGTCACCATATGCGAGCCACAGGTGGAAATGGCCTTGCGTCTTCCCTGAGCAGAGTGGATCCTTAGGATGGCGGCAATGATAAAGATGTAGGAGGTGAGGACTATGGAAGAGGAACAGATCATGTCAAAACCAGCAAAGGCAAAAATCAGAATTTCCTTCATGTGTGTGTCTGAGCAGGACAGAGCTAAGAGAGGGAGGTCATCACAGTAGAAATGGTTAATTACATTGGGGCCACAGTAAGTCAGATGGAAAGTGATGATGGTGTGGAACAGGGCAACAAGAAAGCTGTATGTATATGGGATTGCCACTAACTGAATGCAGACTCTTTTTGACATCACTGTATTAGTACTAATATTAATTTATCTGTTGCAATTGAGCACTGTCCTTATAAAATACTCTACTTAGTACAATACATGAATTAACTTGATTGTCTCTTACTTACTCAATGCAGAAGGTTTTCTCCCATCATCTCTGATTGACAGTGGAAAAACTCCAGACTCGTGGCCATAGTCACAGAGTGTGGATGGAACAGTATGAGGGTGACTGCATAAGCTGGCCTGCAGAGCCCATATTCCCGATCATCACTATGCTGCCCAAATTATACTGGTTTGCTCCTTCAGCACCAATCACTGGGATGGTAGAACAAGGCTCGCAGATGCACCCATTTTGCTACAGTGTCAAGCTAAATATTTAAAGCTTAGTGAAGACATACATGAAAGCTGTAGTTTATTGAAGATTGATAAATTTTCCATCTACTTGTCAAGGTGAAATTGCAGGCACCTGAAATTTTAAAAACTTGAGTATCTAATTCTGTCATATCCAGCAAATAGCTGTTTCATTTGAGAATATTCAGAATTAAGGAACCTCCGACTTGCATATGGGACTTTAACATACTCAACATTTTTCTCACAAAGTCTTTTATTTCAATTCCAGGTGTGAAGTTATGATTTGAACCCTACTAGAGGATAATTATGAGGCTACCACACAATGTGGAAATAAAGTAGATGACCTTCACTGAAAAATGGTGTCAGGGAAGAGGTTTATTTATAATTTACTATAATTCTTTTACTTAATGAAGGGCATCTGAGTATTAGAACTTCCGACGTTACTACTTTTATATAACTTCAAGGTCTGTAGTGGTTCCAAAGTACATGTCAAACCAAATCAGAGAGAACCATATGAGAAGATAAATGGATTGATGAGAACATTAACTATAGTGAATATTTACTATTAACTGAAGTGAAATATTTAAGCATCACATTACAGTAGAAAAATAAAATTTATAGTGGAGTTGCATACCAAGCTGGAGTTTGAATTCTAAATTCTATAAACTTAAAAATAAAATACAATTACCTGCAAAATTATTTAAAATTTCAAAGAAAGTATAGCATTTATGATTTTGCATCTACCTTACAGTTCTCTAGATTACTTTATCAATTCTTCTATTTTTTTAAAAGTAATTTTTCTTCTTAGCCTCCAGTTTTTCACTTTTAGTAGTAACCCTCCCAAAGTCTCAGCATTTATTCAATCATTTCCACATCTCTGTCAATTTTTAGAGAAATTTATAAAATCATTAATCTATTTTAACCGAAGATTTCTTTAATAAGCACTGATGTTTCTTGCTTCATTGCATCTTTTCTAAAGACAGTTTTGTTTCAAACTTCCCTACATATTGGATTCACCCATGAAGCTTTTAACACCCCCATGCCCAGGCACCCCCTACCAACGTAATCTGAGGGGCTCCCAGATATTAGCATTTTTAAAGCTCCCCAGGCAATTCTATTGTATAGCCATGATTGAGAACCAGTAGCCTAAAGAAAAAAATCAGTGATTAGAATGACAAGTAGATCTCAGCCATATTTTCAAAATTACTTATTTTACTTTTGGTTTTGTTTGCTTAACCTATGTTTGAACAGTGGAATTCAAATTGGAGCATGTCTATTTCTGCTCATATAAAAGACTCACCAAGGGTTAAGTGGACAAGAACAGTTTTAAGAAAATCAATGTTTGGTTCCTCCATTTCTTTGTCTGCTCCTTTCTGAAAATAATTTATCTGAAAAGGTATCTATGCTCTTCTGTTCTTTTTTGTCTTCACCTTTCAAAACTCACTATTCTCCCATTTCACAAACGAGAGGCATACATATTCATCAGGAATCTTATTACAATTTCTTGCTTCAAGGTGTAAAAATATTTTGGGTTTTAATCAATTTGGATATTAGGATCACTCTTTTCATCAAGAAACTGTAAATATGACTCATTAACAGGACAAGTTTTAAATACAAGTTAAGTTTGTTTAATTACTATTCATCACAATTGAAAAACTGAAGGTTATTTTAATCTCTTAATAGTAAAATGCATTTAATATTAAATATATAGTACTTTTGGCTTTAGGGATATATATATTCACTTATATATACACACATATATACACATACACAGACGTGTATGCCTTTCTTAAATGCCAATATTTATAACATACAAAAATTGCATATTCATTCCTATTTAAAATACTGGTGAAAAATTTATATATCTACTGAACAAAGTATATTGAGGAAAATATGTGTTTCTCAAATTAACTTAAGAGAGTACCCAAATCCATCAGTAATTATTATTTTTTGTCCTTTCTATTAGGTGGCTAATTCTTTAACTCCAAGAAGTCTCATGTACTTCCTATCCTAGTGTCTGTAGATTCTATTTTGCCCATCTTGATTCTCAAAATGTAGCTGCAGATCAAATTAAATCTCTCTCTTATACTAATTCTTCAGTAGTTTCCCTGACTTAAAAATTAGGGACCTATCTGATGTTTTACACACTTTGGCATCTAGTACAAAGCCAATGCTTTGCACAGAAACAATACTGAATAGGAGGGGGAAGAAAATTGACATTGGGGAACCTCCCCTCTCCTATTCATTGTTCCATTGATCGAGGTATTTCTGGATTTACTCACTGCCTAGAATTATCCAGATCCTGCCCTGTCCTTTATCAGGGTTTTCAAGGCTTTCCCAAGTTGAATACCCTTTATTCCAGGGCTGCACCAAGCTTGGTTTCTTCACCATAGTTTACCAACCTGGCACAAAGGCACACTGTCTGTTCACTGCACAACATGCGTTCAGACCTGGAGACTTCAGCCATCAGATGCTCCTTCTTTGCACCTTAAAACATACGAAAATGACATAACATGACATGTAAAAAGGCTGAGAAGCACTGGTTGGAGACTTACTGCCTGGAACCCTGTTTGGGGTCAGACACTTTTTTCCATAAAACGATATTAGGTGAATGATATACCAAACGGTTTATATTTCCTTTCAGGATTCAATAATTGTAGTGAGTATCCATTATTTATTTAAGACGGAAAATTTTAAGCCAAAGGCCAAGGATGATTTAAAAGAAAAAATACTGGTATCGCACTTAAATGGAGCGCCATTCTCTTATGAACCACCTTCATAAGAGAACTTTAGACAAGAAATCTCTCCTCCACCAGCTATACAGGAACAACTGTCTTTTGCAGGTATTACTGCAGAGGGAGGGTAAATTCTAAGAAGTTATCTGGTTAACCTAACATGAGGTCATTTAAGGGGTGTGTGTGTATGTGTGAGTGAGAGAGAGAGTGAGAGAGACAGACAGACAAACACAGAAAGAGAGAGAGAGAGCTGAAAACTGATAAAGTAGCATTTTAAGCATAAATAAATATCCTTTAGAAAGTGCAAAAAAGCAGAGCATACAAAAGTATGAAACCAAGTTAGGATGCAATCTGATTCGATTTAATATCACAGCTCACCAAGGAGAGAGGTTTCTAATGGGAGCTGAGATATGGGTGGAGAGTTGGCTATTGGTTCCCTATACAGACTCCATCTGACTCACCTGCTTAGGAACGATCTTGGCTCCCAGTGAGCCCATTCTGAAGTCGTCTGGGTGATT